CCACCCCCCAGACTCCTGCACCTCTTTTTACCAATCATTCAGATCTAGTCTACGTTGCTGACTCACAAACTTTACTCATGATTGTGGGGTTTATTACGGAAATAGACTGGGGAGTGGGGAAGGCAAAGAATATCACCAATACAAGTCCACGTTTAGGGCAACATTAAGCCAAATTAACAGCAAGACACAATTCCTCCATTAGTGAAAGACCAGATTTCAATTCAGCAAGGAAAACCTTTAACTATGGCTACATCTCTAAAGTTCCTTTGATTATACTGTCACAGTCTCTTCAGCCTCTTTCCAACCCATACATCACCATTTTTAACAGTGTGGAAAGCACTAGCTTATATTGGTCTCACAGCTGGTGATAATTTTCAAAACCATGTGTCTGCAGTTAAGGTATTGGAAAACAATACAATGGCTAAAAAAGCTAATTTCCAAAGAGTTCTGACAACCCCACCAACTATCTCATTATCCAGTATTTTGCATTTATGACAACTCTGAACATTCTGAAGCAGTACCTTCAACAATGTAGGCAGCAAAGAAAGCCACAGCAGGGCCTGGGCACCCTTTGCAGACAGACATCCCATATGGAGATCCCATTAAAAAGTGGAGCACGTGAAGCAGCCAATCAGTTGCGGGACATCATCTCCCATTCATCCATAATGTCTCAGTTTGGTCACAGAGTGTTCAAATCATTGAGGGAGGACACAGGGTATGGTGGACCAGGCAAGGGCCCAGAGGTGCTGGAGAAGGTAGTGCAAAAAGGAAAAAGGGAAAGGAGGCCTCTTAGGGGTACAGGGCCAAGAAGAATAAAGGCTAAGTAGGGTCCCCATCCAAACTAGGCACTGAGGGGCAGAAAGTGGAAGACCAAAACAGTCCATGCCTAAGGTGGCTGGCAGGAGGCTGCTGGAAACACCAAATCACAACCACTCTCAATCCTTGCAAGTTTTATCATAATGAAGAAAGCACAGTGAGAAAATAATTTTGGTAAAAGGGAACCCACTATACTACACACATCATGAGACTCACCTGGGCACCTGACAGGTAGTGAGCAACTGAGGGAAACTAGCATTGAAGACTAGGCTTGGTCTCAAACTCTCACACAATAGTGAGTTCATGGAACGGTCTGGTCTTTATATTGATGTGGGATGAGCAGGTATACGTACTAATTATAAGAAACCATTGTTCAAAATCATCTATCAGGGACATGTAAATTAAAATATCACTCATTAGAAGATTAACATCAAAATGATCCACAGTATCAGGTGCTTATAAGAATGCAGAGTAAGGGAGCTCTGGTGGCCTAGTGGCAAGAAGCTGCACTGCAATCCCAGAGGTACACCGTTCGAATCCACCATAAGCTCTGCTAGAGAAGGAGGGACAATTTCCTCCTGTACCAGTCAGATCTGATTTGATGGTACACAAACAACAAATAATAAAATAAAATTTAGAAAAAAAGAATTCAGAGTAATTAGAACTCTCATACATACACTGTTGTTGATTGCCTTTGAGTTGTGCATGACTCATAGTGACCCTAGAACAAAAGGCCTGAAGCCCCACTACAACTACCATCACTTATCAAAGTTCATAGTTTCCAGAGGCATGCTATTTAGGAAGTGGATGCCACTCCTGCTTCCAACTGATAAAAATATAAAATGAGGCAACTATCTGGAAAACAGTTTGAGAGTTTCCAATGGAGTTAAACATACATTTACCATACATACAACTTAGAGTCAATTCTTACTTAAGATAAATTAAAGTCCAAATAAGATTTAGGCATGAATGTTTATAGCCATTTTACTTTATATGCTACCAAAATTTGCAAACAGCCCAAATGTCTAGTGGATGGATGAACACAATGCGCTATATTCACACAGTAGAATACCACTTCAAATGCAAAGGAATTAACTGTTGATAAATCAACCACATGGAAAAACTTTTGCATTAAGTAAGAGTAAATACTATACAATATTTAATAAAATTTTGGAAAAGACAAAAATAATTTTAATGAAAGAAAAAGATGGTTTCTGGTGGTGAAGTGAAACCTTACTGAGCAAGGACATAAGAACTTTCTGGAGGGATGAAAATGTCCCATACCCACTATGGCAATGGTTACATGGAAGTACACATTTTGTAGAACTCTTCAGAATGTGGGGTTTTTTTATGGATGCACTTCATTAGATACAAATCACAATAAAATTTGCCATGTTTTTTATATGGAAAAGGGAGAAATTTCCAAGATGTAAAAAAGTAGAGGTTAAAAATTAGTACAAGTATTCTTAATTTGTATTTTTCTATATTCTCCCCTTACTTATCTAAATAGGAGTAAGAGAGCGAACTAAGCATGATCAAATAATCTCATTGTTTCACTGATGAAAAAGAAAATGTTTCGTTTTTCTCCACATTATAGACGTAATTTGTTTATTACTTCCCAATGGAAGGCATATTTTTAAGATATATATTTTTTGATATCCCATAATTCATTTTATCTTTATCTCTCTGCAAAATCACACTATCTACCTGATTTTTATTAATTTATGTACCGTGTATTACAGAGGTTCTAAAAACCTAGCTTCTTGGAATTTTTATATTACTATACACTATAAAGGGAGCTCTGATGGCGTAGAGGCAAGAAGCTGCGCTGCAATCCCAAATGCATGCAGTTCGAATCCATCAAGACAATGTTTTCCGTGCAAATAAATGCCTCTGAAAATCCACTGGAGGGTCAGCTATGGGTTGATTCCAACTCTATGATATACACCAACAAATATGCAAATTACAACATGATAAAAGAAAAAACTTTCATGGTAAAGGTTTTAGCATCATTCCACATAAGCAGCAGTTTCTGAATTAAAATAAAAATAAACCTTTAATGGAAAATTTAAAAAACAAATGTTCAGTGCTATTATTTACCAAAATAAGTATATAGAACAAGATAACCAATAGGTAGAAATCAGACTCAGCTGCTCCCATGTTGCATCTGTTCTTTGTACAATTGGCATCAGGAGTAGGATACATTACTCCAGACTAATAGAAATATGGTTTGGTTTTGTAAATTTGGGGCTTGGGAAGAAAATTTTATTATTTGTTTTAAAGAAGATAAGTAGACAAAGAGAGACTGCCAATTAACAAAGGCAAGGTAAAGCTGATGTCTATCAGAGCCCCCTCTCAAGGATTTGATGTTAAAGGAAGCTGATGAGTATGCTTAATTCACAGTGAATGACCTGGGTATACTTGATGAGGGAAAGGGAGAAGAACTTCCTTTCCAAGACTTAACCTTAAAGGAAGCTGGTGGTGGCCACCAACTTGTGGTGGCCACCTGGGTCCACGTGATGAGTAGAAGTGGGAGATACTCAGTAATGCAGAGACAGGCTGAGTTTGGACATGTTTCTTCAGCACCATCCACTTTGCATGATGAATGGATAAGTGAAAAAAGGTTGCTGGTTTGTGGGTCAGGGAGTCCTGAGGATTCCTGATGTGTTGACATAGCCCATGTGGGGCTAGGACTGAGTGAAGACACCAGCCAGTATGAAACACAGGAAGAAGTGTGGACTCCTCAGTTTGTGGCTGATACACATTTGTACCTTGCCACAGATGGCTGGGGATGTGTTGACCAGAACCCAACCAGAAGAGAAAATGTTTCATTCTATGAGCTAGTGTTGATTACTGCTACCTGAGAATTTGCTCTGGACTGATTTTTTATTTATAGATGTGGATGCTCAGTTACAATTGTAACAGAAGATTCTTCAGAGAAAAAAAACACAAACTTGTTTCCTCAGAGTATTTACTTGATAGGATGAGAAACATACTATCTAAAATGGAAGGATTAAGACATAATGAGTCAAACAGTGACTTTACAGACTTTGATGAATACAAATTACGGTAAAAGGAAGGTGGATCCTTTCATTAATAAGAGATAACAACTAGACAAGCCAGAGGGTAGTCTGTGGTGTCAGAAACCTTGGAAATTGGCTTTTCTATTCACTGCCTTGACCCCACTTGGAGCATGGTCTCAAGCTACCTTAAATGCAGACACATGATCTTGCAAATCATCAACAGCTGTGGGACCATAAAAGAACACTTTCCGCACTGTAAGAGTGGTGGAGAGAGGGTGAAGAGAATTCCAGAAAGTGCAGAGACTGTGGCACTGCTGTGAAGAGACTGTGGCAAGGTGTAACCAGAAGAACCCTGGAGAGGGAGCCAAAGGTAAAGGTTTTGCTTGCTGAATGACTGAAGGAAAAAAGCTGACTTGTTAACTGCTTTAAAATAGAGTTTGCTGGATGACTGAGGAAACCAGAGGTGTGCTTGTGCTGTTGAACTAAAATTAGACTTTCAATTGTTGACGGAGGTGCTCTCTCAACTAATTGAGGAATTATGTCTTGCTGTTAATCTGGTTTAGGACTGCTGGACTAAACCTGGATATGCATTTTGTTATATTCTTTACCTCCCCGACTCCCTAATCTATTTCCGTAATAAACCCCACAACTGTGAGTCAAGTCTGTGAGTCAACTTGCAACAAACACTGGACCCAATCATTCACAGAAACAGGTGTAGGAGCATATCGGACCATAGAGCTATTTGTCTGGTAACTATGAATATTACTGATGGGAACAGTTTCCCTTTAAGAAGCAGGTAAAAGTCAGACTTGGCAGTCCCCACATTGCTACTGGTTCCTTATATAATTAAGTCAGATTAAAAATACTAATATTAAGGGGAGCTCTGGTGGCCTAGTGGCAAGGAGCTGCAACTACAATCCCAGAGGCGTACGGTTCAAATCCACCAGATGCTCTGCCGGGGAAGGAGGGGCAGTCTCCTCCTGTACCAGTCAGATCTGATTTGACGGTACACTTACACAAAAATAATAAAATAAAATAAATAAAAATACTAATATTAGAAATATTTGGGTATATTTATTTTTAACAAACATAAATTTTTAAATTATAACCAGCCAAAACCATAGGCCAAGTATACAGCATTTATCTATTACGGTTACATACCTGACAACATACTAAGAAAATGAAGAGAGTTATGGCAGTCCACAGTACCTTCTCTCTAAACTGAATCTGTATAAACACAAAGAAAAGGTCAAGATTAAACCAAAACCCAGCAAGCATTAAACAAAACTCAAAACCCAAATCATAACCAACATTCTGCCATCATGTGTTTCGATTATGTATTCTTAAATCTCCCTATAATCCTATCTGACAGTCTCTAAAACCACAGAACTTCTCCAAAATAATTTTAATTTTTCTAAAAGTAATTTAAATCTTCATTCATTACAGTACAATGCTAACTGAAACTGAAATGGATACAACTAATAAGATCCATCCAAGTATTTACTGTATATTATGTGGGTATTTCATAAAGCACAAAAAGCTCCTGTTTTAAAAGATGCCTTACATGTAAATGAAACTATTTCTATAATCACAAAGCAATAAACAAGAAATATACTTTAAAATAAAACATTAAGTTTAACAAAAGCTTTATCTATCTCTTTATAGTTCTATTATTGATATTTGCAGACAAATTAAAGAAAAACTGCAGAAAATAATTGTCTGGAATGAATCATAGTGGCATATTTAATAATGCCTCTGGAATTTAAATACCTTAACTATAAAAGTAAACAATGATGGAAAAATTAATTGATCTACTATAGTATGTCGACAGCACTTAACAACAACAAAGAAAGAGCTCAGTGGACTTAGTGGACAGAAAGTAATGTTACCAAGCCAAAGGTGAGTGATTTTAATCTGCGGCCCTCAGGCCTGGTTTTAATTGTTTTTGGTCATTCTTCTAGGTCACATAGCTGCTCTGTCCATTTGCTGTACAAAGGTAACGCATGGCTGCTGTGATGCTGAACACTGCAACATTGATGTGTCAAATGTGATAATGGTTACCCATGGTGGACAGTGTTTGGTGGAGCTTCTAGATTAAAACAAGCTTGGAAGCAGAAGTGGCATCCACTTCCAAAATAACTTGCCTCTGGAAACCCTATGAACTTGGAAAAACAATGGAAGTTATACAAATGTTCAGGTCTTTCATTCATAGGGTCGCTATGAGTCATTTACAACTTGACAGCACTTAACAACAACTAAGTATCATCTGAATGCATTCCTATGATTTTTCTTTCCATTAATTAGATCAAGCAATAGTACATACTTGCATAGAGGCAATTCATTTATTCAAATCAGTTGTAGTTATGTGTCATCAAAGTTGACTACTACTTACAACAGATCTGAACCCTTCCCTATCCAGAGCCATCTTCATCATCTCTGCTATACTGAGGCCCACTGTCATAGTCACTGTACCCTTTCATAGAGGGTCTTCATCTTCTGTGCTGATCCTTCATTTTCAAAGCATGATGTTCTTTCAAAGGATGGGCCCCTAACAGCAACATGCCCAAAGTACATGAGATGAAGTTTCACTATTCTTGCTTCTAAGGAAGATCCTGGCCTCACCTCCTCTAAGACATCTATGTTGTTCTTTTGGCAGTCCATACACTATTCAGCACTGCACTCTTCACCAACATCACAATTCAAGGCATCAATCCTTCCGTCATCCTTAGTCACTGTCCAACTTTCAGATGCAAAACAAGTAATCGACAAGACCAAAGATAGCTTAGATCAGCTGCATTTTAATTTTTAAACTGACATAATGACTCTTGTTTCACCCTAGAGAGGTCCCTGACAGCCGACTTTCCCAATGCAATACATCTTTTGATTTCCTTACTGCTGATTTGAACCCAAGTAAGATTAAATCATTGACAAACTCCATGTATCATAATTTTACCTACTGGCCCAGTAGTGAAGAATTTTTGTCTTCTTGATGAAGAGATGTAATCCAGATTGAAGGCTGTAATTTTTTTATCTTCCGCAGCAAGTGTTTCAAGTCCTCACTTTCAGCAAGTAAGGCTGTATTAACTGCAAAATGCAGGTTGTTGATGAGTCTTCCTCCAATTCACGTGCCATATTCTCAACAGCCCTGTAGCATTCCTTTTTCTTTTAAATCATACAGTGTTCCCTTGCCCTGTTTGCACAATAGCTCTTCTTGGTCAATATACAGAATTCACACGAACACAAGTGTTCTGTGATTACCATTTTTTTCAATGTTAGTCATGATTTGTTATGATCCATACAAACAAATGCCTCTGCAGGGTCAATAAAACACAAACCAACATCCTTCCAATATTTTTTGCTTCCAGACAAGATCTAACTGACATCAGCAGTGATATTCCTCATGCCATGCCTCTTGTAATTTCAACCTATATTTCTGACAATTCTGTCACTATACTACTGTTCCATTCATTTTTTTAAATAATCTTCGGCAAGATTTTACTTGCATGTGATGTTAATGATAATGTTCAGTAATTTCCACATTCTGTTGGAGCTATACTTGTCAAAACTGATTCACAGCTGACCCTCCAGAACGTTTTCAATGGCAGTAAATCACACAGCTGAAGACTATTCCTCTTCTTCCCAGGAAGCAATGGGTGGATTTGAACTGCTTGCCTTTACAACTCCTTACAACTAAGACACCAGTATCAGTGCTCATAAAGGATTATAGATTGTATTTTTTTTAATTAAGGTTTACAAATCATAGGATTTTTTTAAATTTTCTATTAGTTTATTCAGTGACTGGGGTAATCGGGATGGGTGTGTCAGGGGCAATGAGACTGGCACAGGATAGAGCAGGGTTTAGGGCTGTTGTACATAGGGTCGCTATGAGTCGCAAACGACTCGACAGCACATAACAACAACAACAGCAATTAGTTTATTTACAAAATTCAAATACAAATTCAAACAAATTCAATCTCTCTCACCCCTGGCCCCCCATCAAATTGTGCATCCAGATGATTAATTTCCCCTCCCCCTGCACATCCACATCCCTCTGCTTCCAACCTCTCCCACCCCTCTTGGATCCTTATACTTATTCTACAATAAAGGTTATATAAAATATTTATCCTTGTGGGACTGAGTTACTTCAACTCAGCATAATGCTCTCCAGTCCCTCCCAAGTTAGGTAATAATTTACAAACTCATTGCTCCGGCGTGCTTATTTGCTGTTGGGACATTTGGGCTGTTTCCATGTTCTTACAATGGTGAATAATGCTGTTATGAACATTGGTGTACAAATCTCCGGCGTGCTTATTTGCTATTGGGACATTTGGGCTGTTTCCATGTTCTTACAATGGTGAATAATGCTGTTATGAACATTGGTGTACAAATCTCCGGTATGCCTCTGTTCTCATTTTCTTAGAGTATATTCCAAGTAGTGGAATAGCTGAGTCATATGGAATTTCTATGTCAAGCTTTTTGAAGAAGCGTCAAACTGCCTTTCAGAATGTTTGTACCATTTTAAAATCCCACCAACAATGTATAAGAGTTCCTCTCTCCTTTAACCCAAGACCACCAGTAAGGTGATAAAGCATCCTCCCTTCCCCCCTTTACATCTACACCCCTGTTCTGCATGAAGAAGCCAGAGAGTCAGCATTCAGTTCCCAAATCAATAAAACGGTTGGTTTAATTACCATTGGAAAATGCTTGTCATTCCTCTGTAGCATCTGGTCCCCACTGGATCCTCATCATTTCCTTGACCTGCTCCCCCCACCGACCAAACTGTGCAGCTCTGCAACTGCATCCTGGCCCATCCTCACCCTTCTGCCCCCAACCCTCACCTCCCTGTACCCCCAATATGTTTTTCCCAATTAAAAAAAAAAAGAGTTCCTTTCTTGCCACATACTCGCCAACATTTATTACTTGCTGCCCTGTTAAACTTTACCACTGTTAGTGGAGTGAGATGGTACCTAATTGTGGTTTTGATTTGCATCTCTCTTATTGCCAGTGATTTGGAGCATTTGTTCATATGTTCGTTTGCCATTCGAATATCTTCCTCTGTGAAAATTCTATGTCTTTGCCCATTTTGTAACTGGGTTATCAGTCTTTTTCTTGTGGAGGCTCAAGAGTATTCTGTAAACTTTTTTTATAAGACTCCTGTCTGAACTGGTATTACCAAATGTTTATTCCCTGTCAGCAGGTTTTCTTTTCAGCCTGTTGGGAAAGTTTTTGATGTGCACAGGGATTTGATCTTTAGAAGGTCCCATGTGTCAATTTTTATCCTCTTCAGATTGTACATATCTGGTTGTATCTTTATACCTTGGACTAGTGCTTCTAAGCTTGATCCCAGTTTGTCTCTTATGAATGTTAAGGTTTTAGGCTTTACTCTCAGTTCTCTGATACACTTTGAGTTGATTTTTGTGTATGGTGTGAGATGTGGATCCTGTTTCAGCTTTCTGCAGGTGGAAGTCCAGTTTTGCAAGCACCATTTGTTGAAGAGGTTGTCATTTCTCCATTTGATAGCTTGGATTTCCTTGTTGAGTATCAGTTGACCATAGATAGCTGGGTCTATTTCTGGGTTCTCAATTCTGTTCCATTGGTCTATGTGCCTGTCATTGTACCAGTACCATGCTGTTTTGGTTACTACTGCTGTGTAATAGGTTTGGAGGTGAGGGAGTGTGCTATGTCTCCAAACTCATTTTTGTTTCTCAAAGTGTTTTGCTTATTTGGGGTCTCTTGCCTCTCCAAATAAATCTGATAATTTCCCTTTCAATCTCCTTGAAAAATTAATTTGGTATCTGCATTGGGATTGCACTGAACATGTATATTGCTTTTTGGTAGGATTGTCATTTTCACCATATTAAGTCTTCCTACCCATGAACATTTTTCCATTTCTTTAGGTCTTTTATTGTGTCTTCCAGAAATCCTCTGTAGTATTCTTTGTATAGGTCTTTTGTGTCTCAAGTTAGGTTCACTCCCAAGTATCTCAATTTGTGGTTGGCTATTGTAAATGGTATTGCTTTCTTGATTTCCTTCTCTTGAGTTCTCTTTGTTATGGTAGAGGAATCCTATTGATTTTTTAATATTGACCTTATATCCTGCCACTCTACTAAACTGGCCTATTAGCTCTAACAGGTTTTATTGTTGATCTTTGGGGTTTTCTGTGTGCACTATCATAACATCTTCATACAGCAACAGTGTAACCATCTCTTTGCTGATTTGGATGCCTTTTATTTCCTTCTCTTGTCACACTGCCCTAGCAAGCATTTTCAATACAATATTGAAAAAAGGAAGAAAAAACAATATTGAAAAGAAGTGATGACAGTGGGCATCCTTGTCTGGTCCCTGTTTGCAAGGAAAATGTTTTTAATCTTTCTGCACTGAGAAGTATGTTGGCTCTTTGTTTTGCATATATACTTTTCACTATGTTGAGGAAATTCTCTTCTATTCCAATTTTGCTGAGTGTCTTATCAGGAAGGGTCTTGGACTAAATGCCTTGTCTGCATCAATTGCTAAGATCATATGGCTTTTGTAATCTACTTTGTTAATATAGTGAATTACATTGATTGTTTTTCTTATGTTTAACCATAGGAATCCCATTCGGTCTTGGTGAATTTTTATTTTTTTTTATGTGCTTCTGGATTCTATTGGATAGAATTTTTTTAAGGAACAAATCATAGGATTCTTATTCATAGACATGTTCTACAGCATGAATTACCATGGTTAATGTAATTAATTATAATGCTTAGACTGTATCTTAAACATATAGATGAAAAACATTGCTTTAGGAATGTTACAACTCAAACAACACTCATTTCTGAAACCATGGGATAATCTATCTAGATTTAAACAAGTCTATACTTTTTGTTGTTATGTGCCATTGTGTCAACTACAACTCATAACAATCCTATGAACAACACATGTGAACCTTGACCTATCCTGCAGAATCTTCAGGATCTCTGAAATGCTCCAATCAAATGTTTAGTAACCACATAAATCTATCTAATTGAAGATCTTCCTCTCTTTCAGTGATTCTCTACTTTTTCCATATTATTAATGTTCTATTACTTTTGTGTCTCTTGAAATAAAGATGAGCAGAAAATATTTTCCAAATTATAAACAAAAAACCCTAGGTAAATAAATCTTGTTTTTTAACAAGACAGGCCATTTAATTATTTTCTATATTATTAAAATTGTACACTTACTTTCCTTTCAGGTTTCTGAATTTCTGGTAGAACAGCACAGAAAGGTTTGATAACTTCTAAAAATTTAACTGTTAAATAAAAAGAAAAAAATTATCTAATTAGAGAGGTCTTTGTAAAGACATATAATTTCAATTATATTTTAAATTAAAATATAAAAAAATCAATTAATTGCTCACTCCTAATGGTCTCATTTTTACCACCTCACACTCAAAATTAGCTGATTATAACACTTTCCATTTCAAATAAATATGTAATGGAAGATGAATAATTAAAATGAGAAACAATCCAAAGGAAATGAGAGCTAGTTAGTAAAAGCAAAAGAAGTATCCATTTTTTACTTTGCTTCCCCATGCTTGTACCCAATATAAGCCTGTATAAAAGAACTATTCAAAGAGAATCATTAAATAAAAAAAAAAAGAGAAAATGTTTACTATGACATCTTCCTTGCAAAAATCCACTGGAGACAAACTGGACTAGACTGGACTGGATCCATAAGACAAAGCATAATTTTTTTTTTTAAAGTAGGGTATCAGAGTAGGATTAAACAAGAATGCCATTCTCCACTGAGGAAGACACTAGAGAAAACTGGCTTAAGCTGCACAAACTCCTTAATCAAAGAAAAAAACCAACCCCAAAACATTTAAAAACATGTTTAAAAGAAAGATCACAGAATCATCTTTTATACTTAACCTTCTAAAGCATGTAGTCTTCATTTCCTTAAGCCACAATTTATTTGATTATTAATACCAAAAAATTTGCTTATATAAGATAATCAGATGAAAGAATGACACTTCATTAGAAAATACTGTTTTTCCAGACAGTTCTTAAACTCAAACCCACTGCTGTCAAGTTGGTTGCAACTCATAGCAATCCTTCATTGGGATTCCAAGGCTCTCAAGGTGGATTCAAGATGCAGACTTTTTTGGTCAACATACTAACCACTAGGGTTCCTTGAACACCTCTTAAAAGAATATATAAAAGATATATTTAGGAATAAATTAGGTAACTATCTTCTGGCATAATTTAAGTGCCATTCTGGCAGAGAAGTGGAGGATAAAAATGATAACCCTTCAAGTGTCAGTCCTTTGCCAGGAGTCTGTAACACACAGAAAGACAAGGAGCCATGCCAGCTCTTAGCTATGATCATCTTCCACTGCAGGTATCCTGACATTGTTTTAAAACTGGCTGATTAATTACAATTCTATTTAGCTGGAAGTTAACTATGTTGCTATTAGATGCTGCTGATTGAACTCTAAATCACAGCAATCCCATGTACAAGAGATTGAAACCTCACTTATTCTTCCATGTATTCTTTTTATATATCCTCTTTTATATATATATTTTGTTGTTGTGTACTGTCCAGTTGGAAGTAACTCATAGCTGACCTTCCAGGGGGTTTTCAAAGGCAGCAAATAATGAGAGGAGACTGTTCATCTTTTTCTCATAGAGTAGTAGCTGGTGGATCTGAACCACATACCTTTGGGCTAACATTGTAATAATTCCCTCCTACATGTGTCCAGGAGGGACTGGTCTTTGGTGAAGGACATCATAATCAGAAGTGTGGAAGGACTGCACAGGAGAGGAAGATCCAGATGAGATGAATGGATAACAGTAACTGAGGCAATGGGGGGTGTGTCTGTGAGACTGGCTCAGAACAGGGCAGTGTTCAGAGCTATATTGTACAAACGATCACTATGAGTTGCAGGCAACTCAGCCATACATAACAAGTCACCAGAGCTCCATTATATAAATACAGTTCACTCTGTGTGTGTGCGTATGCACTCGTAGTTATATGCCTTCGAATTGCCTGTGACTCACTGAAACCCTATGTACAACAGCTCTAAACCCTTCTCTATCCTGTGCCAATCTTACTGTCTCTGACACACCTTAACCCCTTTCACCCAGGCACTGAATCGATCCACCTCATAGAGGGCCTTCCCCTCCTGCGCTGTCCCTCCACCCTCCCAAGCATGACCTCCCTCTTCAAGGACAGGTCCCTCCTTATAAACATGTCCAAAGTATGTCAGATGAAGTTTCAGAATCCTTGCCTTCAAGAAGCAGCCTGGTTTCATATACATATATATAAATCAACCTTTTTAAGAAATCATAATCATTGCCATCAAGTCAATTTAGACTCATAACCCTTACAGAAAAGAGTAGAGCTGTCCCATAAGGTTTGAAATGCTATAAATTTTCAAAGCTGACTGCCACATCTTTCTCCCAAGAAGCAGGTAAGGTCAAACAACTGACCTTTTGGTTAGCAGTCAAATGCTTAACTTGAAAACCTCTACGACAGCAGTCATGGATATCAAATAGAAGTCAGCAATTCTCACGGCTATTTGGAATGCAAATCTGTACCTCTGAACTACAAAGTCTGGCAAGTGCAAACACAAATGCTCACCGCAGGTTATTTCCCAGAATCCCTTTCCTTTCCCACCTCTATCAGAGCCGCCCCCCACTTCTGGGCTTTCGTAAACACCTGTGCTGGGGTACTTATGTTCAAGCAATGCTTCTCTGCCTGCCACTTACCTATTCTTGCGCTGCAGAATTTCACCAATTATTCTAAAAATTCAAGGTCAGGGTCTCCTCTAATTCCTTTCTAACTTATCTCAAATGTCCCATAGCTGGCACACTGCTTGAGTCCATTCATCCATCCAGCAAGCATCTGAACAGCTATGTGAGTGGTGTTTTTTGGGGGGAAGGGACTCAAAAGATTCCTATAATACAAGGTTCTAATCGTAGATCTTATACAACCTTACACACGCATTAACTTTTCAATAAACACTACAGAATAACTGAAATGAAAAAAATTTAAAAAATATCTATACTACCAAATGTACGCCTTTCTTATTCTAACATGTATTTCCTGCATCAATTCTTTTTTTTCTTTAAAATAAAACGACTCAAAGGGCTTTATTCATCACAACTAGCAAAGGTGATTACTTAATACAAGCTTTCTAAGCAAGCTCCTAAAGAATTCAAACTGGTCCAGCTTTAGCCGGGTTCCCAAACTCCCCGGCAGCAAATCCACGAGCTCGTCGCGTCATCCTCTGCGGCTCCTTACCTATCGTGCACATCCCCCGGGCCCACGGTCACGTTCCCCCTCGGTCGGCATGGCCCGGGCCTCGCACCAAAACGCAGGAGCCGCGGTGCAGGGCCCCGCCCCGCCCCCTGTGCCGCGGTCCCCGCGGCCCGCGCATCCCTGTCCCACAGGATGGGAAACATCGCAAAGACGCCGGCCCTAACTCGACCACTACAGTCGAGACTCCTGCCCCAAGCAAGAACCTTGCTCTCTGACACACATCGCCGACCCAGGCTCCACATATGATACTTACTCCCCATGGCGGCGGCTGGGGAGGGCCGGCGGGTAACTGCGGCCTCTGCCTTGCCTTCTTCTCTCGGGTCCCGTCGCTTGGGCCTCTGCGCCGGCTCCCGACGCGTTCCAGCCGGCCCTGCACAAGCCCCGCCCCTCGTCACGTGACCTGCGCGGCCACCCAGTCACGGCTCGTCCCCAAGCCCGGGCTCAGCGGTTGGCTGCCCACGCCTCCCAGGATGTCTTTTCCATTGCCATGGTCACCGCCAGCGATGCAGCGGGGGTGGGCTCGAGGCACCTCGCCCCGCCTCCGCTGCGCCGGCAGCCGGGACCTTGACGTTGCGTGGGTGCAGGCTAGGCTAGGTTACCCTTCTCGCCTTGCAGTGTTTCAGTCCTGCAGGGAGGCTTGAAACGCTGCATGATCTCTGTCTTCTAAGAGGTCATGGTGGCGCAAACCACGTTTCAAGAAATGTGTCAAGAAATGTCGGTTTGCTTTGCTGGTGCGTTTTTTCCTGGGCTGCCTGGACAGGCCATCAGGGGAGGCTGCGATCCCAAGTGCTGCCTGGCGGGGGCGCCTCAGGGTCCGGAGCTAATGTGGCCGCTACAGTGGCGCCCCAGCTCCCTGCTGAAAAGCAGAGTCTGGCGCTTCTCAGAGACCCGGGATAAATCACCAGGAGAACTTGCATGACCTTGCTGACCTTTTTGTTTGCTTCCATCTTGTAACCTTTTCTAGGTTTTCTGGGTTTTATTTTAAATACATGACATAATTGTCTATGATTAATTGTAGCCTCTGAATTCCGTCTTAGCCACTGCTTATGCTCCTCCACCTTCGCCAAGATAGAGATCAGGACTTTATGCCTCCTCTCATTTAAGTTTCCTTAAGCCAGCTCCTGACTTGACATTCCCATATGCACTAAACAGACAAAAAAATACCGTAAACCCAACCCATTGTCAGTTCCCACTGCTGAGGATTGTTTCCACATCTTTTAATTGTAGTGACTGCTAGATATGAATCTCAACCTTTCTACTAGTCACCAAACACGGAACAAACACGTAAAGCTCCTGCCACAGCTCCTATGTATACACTACACTGATTGACTTCAAGTTGACTCAGCTCACCCTCTAGCAGGCTTTCCGAGGCTATAAAGTGCATGAGACGAGGTCTTTCTCCCCAGAAGCAGCTGACAAAGGCTGAGAAGTAGGCAAGGTATCTTAAGAGGGACAACTGTTAGAATTGGTAAAAACATTGGAGAGTGGAGGAATGTGACCTCGTAGGAATCAGCCTTGGACTGTTTATACTGATAGTGATTGCAAGAGGTCAGACACAAATAAACCTGCCAAATTGCTTTGCCCTCAGGGAAAGTTCAGGTGAAAATAGATTACAACTCCCAAACAGAGGCAGTGCACATACATCACCTGGATTGAGGTAGACATTTGTACGTTGTTGTTGTTGTTGTTAGGTGCCATCAAGTCCCAGGCGACTCATAGCGACCCCATGAACGAAAGTCCTTTTTCCAGGTTCATAGGGTTTCCAGAGGCAAGCTATTATGGAAGTAGATGCCACTCCTGCTTCCGAGCTTGTTTTAATTGGGGAGACATTTATATAGGTAAGTATAATCAGGTACCAGAAGGAAGCTACAGCAAGGTAAGGCTTGAGAAGTAGGATTGTCTGCATTCTGGAACAAAATGGAATTTTTTATTATTATTATTAATTTTACTAGACGTTTACAGAGGTTTTGGATTTCCATTTCATTCATTGCCGCACTTTTCTTCCTGCCCACCCCTCCCCACCAGCTCACTTCCCCCTCCGAAGAGAAAAAGAAAAAAACAAAAAACAAAAAAAAAATTCCTTCATTAGTATACAATTACCACGTCCCTTCCTCCCCACCCCCCACCCCCAAGTACACTTCTCTATGCAACCTTAATTCTGGATTCCTATGCTAACCATAATACTCAATCATATATCACTTCTAATCTGTAATTTCCCTCATTTGTTTCAATACAATATACATAATTTATCCAGTTTTTTTCTGTCATACCCCCACCCTGATGTCAGACCCATTCTACAACAGTGGCACCATGCAGTATTTGTCCCTTTGTGACTGAGATATTTCACTCAGCATAATGTCCTCCAGGGTCACCCACTTTGAATA